AAGCTTTGCTCTGGTGGTTGTGATAACACTGAAGGTTTGGAAACCGTATAATGGAATTTGGAAGATGGACTGTTTCCCTGCACTTCAGATGCATACTGATTGGGTTAGGGACGTCGCATGGGCACCAAACCTCGGGCTACCGAAATCTACTATTGCAAGTGCTTCTCAGGATGGACAGGTTATCATATGGACGGTAGTCTGGGAAGGGGATCAATGGGAAGGGAAGATATTGAATGATTTCAAAACTCCTGTCTGGAGGGTCTCATGGTCTATGACTGGGAACATCTTGGCTGTGGCGGATGGGAACAACAATGTTACCTTGTGGAAGGAGGATGTTGATGGGGACTGGCAACAGGTGACGACTGTTGAGCCATAGATCCTGTTCTTAAATTTTTTGCAGTGCATATGAGTTCACTTTGATCATTTTAACTCTGGCATTTAGTTGGCTTGAAAGTAACTCTGGTAAGTACCCTCCCCTTTCCCTCTCCTTTGTCCATGATAGTTGAGGATTATTGGGAGTGAGTCCCACGTTGGTTAATGTGGAAGATCATAGGTTTATAAGTGAGGAATACTATCTCCATTGGTATGAGGCCTTTTGGGGAGGCCCAGATAAAAACCATGAGAGCTTATGCTCAAAGTGGACAATATCATACCATTGTGGAGAGTCATGATTCCTAACAAGTTAGCCGTGTCGTGGTAGGGATGTTTGGAGAGTCATGATTCCTAACAAGTTAGCCGTGTCGTGGTAGGGATGTTTGGAGAGTCATGATTCCTAACAAGTTAGCCGTGTCGTGGTAGGGATGTTCGGAGAGTCATGATTCCTAACAAGTTAGCCGTGTCGTGGTAGGGATGTTCGGAGAGTCATGATTCCTAACAAGTTAGCCGTGTCGTGGTAGGGATGTTCGGAGAGTCATGATTCCTAACAAGTTAGCCGTGTCGTGGTAGGGATGTTCGGAGAGTCATGATTCCTAACAAGTTAGCCGTGTCGTGGTAGGGATGTTCGGAGAGTCATGATTCCTAACAAGTTAGCCGTGTCGTGGTAGAGATGTTCGGGAGAATCAACTACTATGGGTTCAAGCCATGGTGGTCATTTAACTAAGAATTAATATTTTATGTTTTTTTTTTTTCAATCAAGCATAATAGGGTTAACCGTGCAGTTATTTTATGAGAATAGTTGAGACTATTGGGGATTGTTGGGAGAGGAGTCCCATATCGACTAATTAAGGGGTTGTAGATTTATGGAGATAGTATGAGCCCTTTTGGAGAAACTAAAAACAAACTCATGAGAACTTATCAAACTGCACAATATCATACCATTGTAGAGGTTCACGATTACTAACCGAAACTTCAAAACCAACTAGGCCTAACGACGGCTGGTTGATCTTAGGCTTATGCTTATAAAATTTCTGATAGCTGGTGATTGCTTATTAAATGATAGAATGTAGCAACTATGCATTTCTACATTTACTACCTGTTCTATATCAACCTTCTTTGCTTATAGATCGATTCAACTTGGAGCCATCAGGTCAGTAGCTGCCACTTGAACGGTATAACTCATCAGAGCTTTTAACAGGAAGGAGTGCTTCTTCTTCCAGGGCCTTGCATGTGTAAGTAATCTTTAAACTCTCCATCTGATCTATATCTTTTGAGTTGTATGCGGGATCGATTGTTCGAGACCTTTGGTCTCTATTCGGACTCATGAAAAATTTGGGGATCACTTATGGACTCGTTGAGAATTGTTCTGATTTAGTTTTGCCCTATTAGAAGTAGAACACACGAAAAGGAAACGAAAGACGAAATATAAATCATAGATCAACTAAGCCAAGCCCTCTCGGGGACTTGCTTAAGAATAAGAAAGAGGAATCTCATGTAAATACCATGGAATAAGGTTTGATTCTATTCATAGGGATTTTGTAAATATTTCATTCCAAAAAGAGAAAGTTGGATCAACTAAGCCAAGCCCTCTCGAGTACTTGCTTAAGAATAAGAAAGAGGAATCTCATGTAAATACCATGGAATAAGGTTTGATCCTATTCGTGGGGATTCCATAAATATTTCATTCCAAAAAGAGAAAGTCCGAAACAATTGTGATTTTTTTGGAGATTGGATGTAGTTACTAGTTCGTGATCTGGCACTCAATTCTACGAGAATTTTTATGAAAGCCTTTCATTTGCTTTTCTTCAGTTTTATTTTCCCAGAATGTATCCTAATATAAAAAAGATATACCTCGGTTATATTTCATCTCTTCAACAAGTTTAGTAGAAGTAGAACACACACACACTTGTTGAGATCTTCGGTTATATTTCATCTCTTCACCGAGCAAAACCACTGTGCCATGTTTGGCATTTTTACTAGGAGGTGGTTTTACACGCACCTTCACCTAGTTATACGTTCTTGACTTAGACACCGGCCCTTTACCTCATTCGAGAACAGCCAGCCTCAATCCTAGAGTTGACTTGGTTTAAATTAACAGGTCATGAATGACATCTTTTTTGGCAAGTTGTTGAACAGAGGGTTATTGAGGAGTGGGTTGCAGAAAACATAACCAGTTTTAAAAATTCAATGAATATATAAATTTTTATACAAATTAGCCTATTTAATTAATTATTAAACGTTAAAAGAAGTGCTAGATAGTAATAGGGAGGTAATATTTAAATATAAATAAAGTCCAAGTCAAAAGTGTACCAATTTTAAATAAATTAAGTATTTCAAACCCGAGTTAGACGTCTGTGAGTATTCAAGCCAGCTTAGCCGTTCGATAAATTTCATAATTTTATTATCATTATTTCTTATAATAATATGTATATATATAAATTAATGAATTAATTAAAAGAAAGATGAAATTGTGAAGAACAAGGAAGCATCCGGAGGAGGAGGAGGAGGAGTCATTATTAAGGCGAATACGTCCGTGCAATGCACGTGAGTGAGTACACGTGCGAGAGTGTCACTGTTTGCACACGTTAAGACAAGGCACGTGCGAGGAAACACGAAGGAAAAGACGGTCATTACGGGCAACAGATCCCAGCCACGTGGAAATTGACCAGCGTTAGGGACCAACCAAAAACCTCGAGAACCCTCTCACATGCTCCCTGACACCACCCCCACCTTTGTCACGTGCTCCCTGGACCCCACCTATTCTTTTAATTTAATTCCAAAGAAAAAATAATAATAAATAAAGCTTACACACAAGAAAATTAAAAAAAAAAAAAAAAAGATTATATTCAAATATCTATCTTTATTTTTATTTATTTATTTCTTTTTCTTTTAGGGAAAAAAAACCAATTTTTAAAATTTTAAATATATATATTTAAATAGGTGTACAATACATACATACATACATATATATATATATATATATATATATATATATATATATAATTTTTCTAGAAATTTAAATATTTTTAGGTGAAAATCATAATACAAAAATTGAAAGAAAACAAACATAAATTTAAAAAATTAAATAATTTACACAATAAAAGTAAGTACAGTACCATTTTTTAATTTTTTTTAACAGCGTAATGATTAATCCAAATAATTTAATATATATTTTAACCCAGCGGAAATAAATAAACAACCTTATCCATTTTTGGGATCGGTGTCCATATCCTAAATTTTCACCCAATATTTTCACAGCCATTAATACCATTTTTTGTTTCACTGAAAAAAAAAAAACATTTAAATATTACACAAACCCAATTCACATAATTGATAATAATTTTGTAATCGAATATTTATAATTATTAGGATATATTTTATTAAATAAATTGGATATAAAATAGAAGAGAAATTAGAATTGAAGTAAAGAGATTAAAAGAAAATAGAGGTTTTAATGTTTGATGAAGTTGAGCTGTAAGCGTCGTGCTTAAACGTGGGGAGAAGAATATAATAATAAAGGGTTTGAAAAAAATAATTATATTAAAAATAAATTTATGTTTAATGCAATAATTAATTTCTTTTATTAAAAAAAATTGAAAAAGCACACGTCCCAATGGACAAATATTATTAGCTAAGGCAGAATCCGGCTGTAAATTTGACGTTATTGGACGAATCACAGCGACAAACCCTGAAAGGTTGATTCTTTAGGGATTGAAATTTTAACCCTTTGTTTTTCTCTTAATTGGAGCTTTATTTTTAAAATTACTTTATTGCCCCTACAAGCGATTGACGTGATAAGAACGACATTCTTTGTAATGATATGGTATTGTCTGTCACAATTCTTCATAGCGACAACCCTGACTCTCGTTTTTTTGTAACGATGTGAAAAACCTATCGTTAGTAGACGAGTTTTAAAATCGTGAGATTGTCGATCATACATAACGAGCTAAAGCAGACAATAACTTGCTAGCAGTAGGTTTGGACTATTACATGTACCTATTTCGTAGTCATGCCTATCAGTCCATGGAGCTCATTGCTAGTTCAATATAGACTTACAACCTTTATTTTTTCGACACATGAGTCACTATTTCTCTCTTGTTTGCTTATATAATTGTCTCTTTCAAAAATCTCTCTATGCCCTCGTTTTCTAAAACCTTCTCTTAAAACCGAGGCCAGAGGCTCGAGCATACGTCACTTGGCCATAGGCGACGCAAGAACGAATTGACTTAGCTCACTTGTCGTTGGAAAGTGAGTGCTGCACAATCGCAAGTCCGCTGCCATTAAAAGTGCGATTGTGACAAGTGGAGTTAGTATTCCTCACTTGTAAATCCATGATTAGCCGAGACTTTCATCATCTAACAACTATGACTACGTATTACAATTGGAGTTAGGGTAGAGAGGTAAATTTGAAGTAAAAGGGAGGGTATTATGGTCAGAGTGAAAAATAATATGGTATATTTTGGAAGGGGAAAATAAAGAAGAGAGTTTAATTGGAAATAACTTTAAAGAACTTGCAAGTCACTTCCTTATTATTATATTCATCTTCTTCTGCATGCAGAGAGATGCTCATTCTTTTTTTTTTTTTTTCTTTTTTTTTTTAAATTTAAATATAGTATTCCCGTTTTGCCCTTGCCTTTGGTCCTCAAAATCCCCTCCTTCCATCTTCCCCACTCTTCATCGAACACATTTCCTTTTCTCTCTCTCTTTCGTTACTGATTCTTCTGCAATTTCACTTGCTCTGTTTCTATCTCGAACAGCGAGATTTTTGTTTGAGTTTGTGTTTTGGTTTTCGTGTTGAGTTTTGCTCTGGATATGGAAGTGAACAAGTTTATGATCGGTGGATATTTCGATGCCGGAGTGGGACAATTTTCACCGGAGAAGACGAAGGCTACGGAGCATTTCGCCATTGATGACCTATTTGACTTTTCTAATGAAGATGCGATAATGATGGACGGTTTCTTCGATAATGTGGCGGGAACTTCGACGGAATCCTCTACTGTTACTGCAGTCGATAGCTGTAATTCATCTGTCTCCGGCGGTGATCATCAGCATTTCCATGGAAATATCGGCTCTCGGAGTTTTGATGAATCTCAATTCTCTGGAGACCTTTGTGTTCCGGTAATATTTCGCATTTGAATTTCCATTGTTCTTCAGAACTTCAATTCTCTGTATGAATTGGAATAGTTTCGGCAAATTTGATCGAACTCCTACATTTGAAATTCATTGCGAGAATTTTAAATTAGTCAGATTCTGATTCAATTTTTCGATTCAATGTTTACAGTGCGATGATTTAGCGGAACTCGAATGGCTCTCGAACTTCGTCGAAGATTCATTCTCGACGGAAGGGAAAGATCTTCAAGCGCTTAATTACCTCACAAATAGCCATTCAATTTCGAAGCCTCAAACTCCAGAAACTTCATCTTCCTCGGAATTACCGCCTTCCGATTCCTCGAAGAACACGCCGCGTTTCCCCGCCGAAACGCCGCTCCCTTCCAAAGCTCGAAGCAAGCGATCGCGAACCGCTCCTTGCGATTGGACCACACGCCTCCTCCACCTCCTCTCTCCTACGGATCGTAAACCTCCGAAATCATCGTCGTCGAAGAAGAAAGACGCTCCAAACGGAGATTCCTCCAGCCGTAAATGCCTGCATTGTCAATCCGAGAAGACTCCTCAATGGCGGACCGGACCTATGGGCCCTAAAACACTCTGCAACGCTTGTGGCGTCCGGTACAAGTCCGGCCGTTTAGTGCCGGAGTATCGTCCGGCAGCGAGTCCAACATTCATATCGGCTAAACACTCGAATTCTCACCGGAAAGTTCTGGAGTTGAGAAGGCAGAAAGAGCTTCAAATGGCGCAACAGCAACAGCAACAGTTCATAAATCAGAGTTCAATTTTTGGGGTAACGAACGGTTGTGATGAGTACTTGATTTCTCATCACATGGGCCCCGTGATAGGCATATAATCTAGTGGATGCTAGTGTAGCAATCTTACCATGGACTTCACCATTTCCCAATCACGTTTTTTCCCCTTCATTTTTTCAGTCCATAAATGAAAGACAGAGGAGTTGCCAATTTTTATTTTATTTCATTTTCATTTTTAAATATAAAACAGAAAATGAGGAAAATATAAATGAAATAAGTTAACTTAAAATTTTAATAAATATGTAAATGAAATAAATTAAATAAATTAACTTAAAACATAATCTCATTTATTTGGCTAAATTTTAATAAATTAACTTAAAAAAATTAAATATGTAATTATTTTATCTTAAATTTAGAAAATTATACATATTTTGAACGATATTTAATTATGGATAAAATAGAGAAAAAAAAGTAGTGAAACCCGTATAATTACGACAAAAAAATAGTGGGTCAATTTTTAAATTTCAACAAAAATTCTAAAGCTATCTAAAAAATATTAGAGATTTAAATCATACAAACAAATTAAAATATATATTTTCGATTAAAATATTAAAATTTTGAATTATTTTTATTAACTCACTTCCAAAAAATTATCATAGTGCATGTGAGACGCGTTTTAAAACGTTGAGGAAAAAGTCTAAATAGAACAATAATTGCTACGAGTGGTACGAGTGATTTCCCTAAAATTCATAATTTTTTTTTTATTTGAAAAAAGAAGTGAATTATTTAATGAAATTGGGAATTATTATTATTTGGTGGAATTTCAAATCCTTTCCCTAGTTTACTCCAACATGCACATGGGGGCTTAAGACACATTCCAAGGCACCACCACTGGCAATTGGCATGGCTTCCACACTCCCATTTCCTACCACTTTTTATTACATCGTATCCTCTACGTACCATCCACATGGACCCCAACTCCCTTTTCAAACTTCACCCAATTCAATGGACCGAACCTACTTTTCGACAGCACTCGGGTTCTTTCTTCTCGAGCCCTCTTTTCACTCTCTTCTCAATTTACGTCTCTCAACCAAAACCCTTCAATGCTCGTGAATATTAGATCGACATGCCACCGACAAGTATGGGTCTTTGAACAGCTTCCAAACCCAACTTAAACTCGTTCGAGCCTACCAGATCTCTCGAAATCCAGTTGAAATCGAGTTTCATGCTCATTCCTCCATGCCATGGTCACTTTTGCCACGACTACTAACCATATAGATATCATATTATTAGGATAGGGACATTTTTTAAAAAAATTAAAAAAATAATAATAATTGAGTCAGAAAATAAATTGACGGATGAATTATGCAACTCTCCATCCTTTAAAGGCGATATTAAGGAATTAATCATAAACGTGACCAACCATGCACCTAAGGTCCATTATGGTATATTATAAAAGAAGTGGGGTCAAATTTTAAATAATCATTTTCTCAAGTTATAACTATAAATATTGCTAAATATAAACTTTTAAGATGATAATTAATATTTATCAGTTGATTAATGCTCGGTTTAGCTCCTTGTCATGCAAGTTTAAAATATTGTAGTTAACGTTATTTTGTTTGAGGAATATGGGTATAGTTGCTATTTCCCCGTCTCTTCTACAAAGGGCATTTTTGTCATTTCACGTAGAATATAATATTTAACGAATTTTCATATTGTTATCCGATTTAAATTTAAAAAGCGAACAATATCATAGTATTATGCAATTAAACCGATTTCTCGAGAAGTAATTCACCTGTTTGGAATGACGGTTTAATTTATTTATTTTTAATTATTTATAAAATATTAAAAAGCTGCTATTTTCCACCTCCATTTTGGAATAATAATTGCAAGCTTCAACTACTTTTGTTTTAATCCCCTTTTTCACATGTGATGCACCTAACCCCTCCATTTTGATTTAACAACACCAATCAATCTATGAGCTTTTGACAAACAATATGTGTTGGAAGCCCCAATTCCCACCAAATTTATACCTTTTTTATTTTCGCAATTTATTAATCTCGACAAAATATTAAATATTACATTTTCCTTAAAAATCAAACGTACAGTTTGTGACATTTGAGTCAATAAAAGGTACATAAATAACCCGAGTCGACGTCCAAACGAGAGTGATTCTATACTAACAAAGTGCATCTCTCTCTTCAGTGACTCAGTTATAAGAACTTTATAATTAAACGTGCTTAGCTTTCGACAGAAGCACGTGAGCGACGAGAAAAAAAGACTAAAAGGACACACGTGTTTGTTTGTATGGATAGTTTTCACTCTTAGAAGTAATTTGAGACGTGTAGATACGATTCCCTTATGGATTTCAGTGCCTAACACGAATCGTAGACATATATGTTTTATTAAATAAAATTGATCGTAATAAAAAAAGGAAAGAGACAAACTAATAGGTTATGAAAATTTTAAAAATATATTAAGAAATTAATATTAATAATCAATCAACATCGTGACTTGATACGTAGACTAATACATCCATGATGTGTGGAAACAAATCTCATTTGGTTTTAATAAATTATTTTTTAAGTCACAATCAAGGTTGTGCGACACCCATTCTCAGCACTAAGTGGGTCAAGCTTACTTCAAGTTACGTTGTTTGCGGTTAGGCAACGTGAATACAAACCTCGGGTCTCGATTTCAAGAGAAGATTTTAAAAAGTAGGGAAGAGAGGTTTTGAAAAGTCAAGCAAAAGGCAATAACAACGGCTTCATGCATATAACTATCGGGTAGGGAGACGTTGACAACTAGTCGTATCCCCCTATAGTACATTTCGAGGCATTTCATGTCTATCAGGCGTAGCCATGACATTGCCGAAACGTCGTACTCTTAAAGAAAATAAGAAAGAAATAATGCAACATGAAAGCGAGCAATAAACTAGTACAAGGCAAAGGTTTCGACATGTCACGGGCATGTGGTCATGAGCGACATGCCTTGGACAAGCATGATCGTGACACCACGCGTCCTCGCTGGCACACAACTGAGTGTCTGACTTTGATACTATTTGTAAAAATTTAAGCCCACCGCTAGCAGATATTGTCCATTTTGGTCATTGTGGTTGATCTCAGGATTTTATTTATTTATTTATTTAAAAAGAAAAAAAAAAGGTAAAGCATGTGAATTATATAAATATCTTTAACTTTTTAAAATTTTAATATTTTAGTTGTGGGGGAAGATGGTTGGGACATGTGACCTAGAAGTGCATAATGCAATAAAAAAAATTAAGGAAGCATAGGCACATGTTTAGCTAATCCCTAATGGTAGGCTTTATATTTATTTAATTTTATTATTTTAGTTTATGAACCATAAGCCTTATGTGTTTGTTTGGTATATAATTTAAATAAAATAAAAATTAATTTAAAATTTACGTAAAAAAGAATTATAAACTTTCTTATTCTTCACTCAAATTTATGTCCAGTCAACTTGAGTATAGCTTAATAGGACGAGAGATGTATGTCTCTAATGTTTCGCGACAAGGAGGCGAAAAGAGCAAGGAGAGAGATGGGATTTCTCTCGTTTTTTGCATAATGGTTCCTAGCAGGATCTCCGCACAACGAGCTATTGACTCAGTGGTAAAACACGCCCTTGATAATTGGGTCGTTATGTCTAGGCTGTGAGGACTTTTAGCCACGTGGATGGTTCAATGTGTTTATCAATGTTTGACCCTAAGATGTGGATCATTCAAGACATGTTGGCATGACATACTCCTCCTATTTGAATTTTAGTTTGAAACTAAATCTCGCCGCAAGAGAATAGATGGGTTGATCCCTGTGAAATCCAATATAGATCTAAGTTTCTATTCACTCATAGGATTTAGATCCTATATCGAGAATCCATAGATCCTATATCACTATATGGACAGATATCTCTCGAGCACAGGTTTATAATTTACCTCAATATGAAAATAAAACAAAACACCTAACAACATATCTTATCTGGGTTTTTTTTCATTATTTTTTTCGTAAGTCCGCTCTTTTTTAAATCTCAATTTTTGAAAGGAAGATACTCAACTACTATTTTTTCATTGGATTAAATTGGACCCACAATTCATATTGAGCGTTTTGTGGGCCTGGGCCTTTTGTGGGCTTGGACCTTTTGTGGGCTTGGGCTTGTCCGATCCACTTCCTATCTACCGTATTTATCATATTTAAATTAAAAATAAAAAAAAAGTTTATATAGAGTAAAGTACATTCATAAAGCATTTTTTTAACTATGTTTTCCAACGATAATATATATTATTTATATCCCTCGAAATAAAATTTTTAACTTTTATCGGTCATTTCAACAATTATAACCTTCATATTTTATGATCAGAAACGACCAAGTAAATATAATTTTGAAATAAATAAAAAATAAATCCTATATTTACCCAAAATTTATATTCATAAACAAATAAATGAAGCTCCATTCTAAACTAAGCTTTCAATCAAGGGTTAGCCAATAAAAGATTAGTGTTATTTGTAAGTCACTTTCATAAACCCTTTAGGGTTTGAGGAAATGTGACCAATAATTTAAAGCATTGGTTGAGCGCCACGAGAAATGACTGAACAGAGTTGGGCTTACTTTGGTTAACAGCCTCAAGATTTCTAAGCTCCATTAAGTCAAAACAGCCCGTGAAAATTTGCCCAAAAAGACACCCAATTTGGCTATAAATTTGGTTACCCGCTGCAACCAACAAAGCGCTGTAAAGCTACAGCAATATTAATGGGCTGCTGCTGCTGCTGCTGCTGCTGCTGTTGTGGGCGCTGTTGCAGAGTTTGTAGCTACTCATCTTTAGCCTATGGCTAAGCCTAATGCTCGTTGCTCCATTGAAATGGAGCCCAGAACCTTGAAGCAAGGCCAACTCCACCAAGCTAGGGTCAGCCAAAAACCCTTTGAAATCCATACCCTTTTGTGGCTATTGGCTTTTGAAGCTTTGTTTTAATGGAGTCTGATTGTTCTGCAGGAAGTTGCTGCTGATGTTGTTCAGAAACTGGAACCCACTGAAGCTTCTCTTCTATTGATTGATGTATGTTTTTCTTTGCAACTCATCTAATGTCTCGTTTATTGTTGTTAAAATCAAATGATATCGATGTTCCCGACAAAATTGTGGGGGAAATATAATGATCGAAGGATCGTATGGTTTCTCGAGAACTTAGAATTTTGTATTTATTATTTTAAAACTTTAAAAAAATTTAATAATGAGGTTCCAAAAAAAAATCCATAAAATATCATTAAGGTTATTTTAACTTCAATTTTTAAAAATTTTAAAAATATCATTTTATAGATATATATTTTTTAAAATAGTTTGAAAGTATAGACCGAGATAATTTTTAAGTAATTTTAAAAGTTAAAAGAGTATTTTTAATAGTTTTTTTTTAAGTTAAATATATTTTTTAAACAAAATATTAAAAAAAAGTTTAAAAGGTATTTTAGATTTTATTAAAGTTTTAAGGGTATTTTAGGAATTTTTTTTAAGGTAAAATTCAAAAGCATTTTTATTAATTTAAATATGTTAAATTATAAATTTAGTTATCAAATTTTAATAAATATTATGTCAAATAAATTCTAACTTTTTAATTTTATATTTAATAGTTGATATTTTTTAAATTTGTAAAATTTAATCTATTAGAATATACCAATAAAATCGAGAACTAAACTAGCGTGTACTTTAACTAATTAAAAATATTAAAATGTTTTGTTCCAACTGATATGAGTGTACAGATCGTAGAACGACTCAAACCGATGAACCATATAATTGAAAGAGGAGAGTTGCCATTGTTGCCGCCATTGTCATCGCCGTTGTCGTCGGCGGCGGCCGGGCCACCGCCACCGCCATTTGTGGGGGATTATAACGAAGAAAGCGGAAGATGCCAATGCTCTTACATTTGTATTGAATCCCCAAATCAATTGCAGCTGCTTAAGGAACCCCTTTCAGCTCCATTTTAGATTAGATGCTTTGGACTATCATTTATGAGCTCTCCGAATATAATTTAATTAATTTAGACATATTATTTTTCAATTAAAAAATATATTAATGTAAAGTATATTTTTTTAAATAAATTAATTGTCGTGATAAAAATAAGGAATGGTCCGTTTCCGTTCATATACTAACCATAAAAGTGTTTAAAATTTATTTTATAAAATTAAAATATTAATATATATATATATATATATTTTTTTTATAACTATCGGGGATGCTAGAAATCCGGAGAATGACTTCTATACCTCGATTGAGTCTATGCTGAGTGAGAGAACTACTCGAAAATTTGAAACTTTCCCAAAAGTTTAGATAGCTGTAGCGAGACCACATAATTAACTATAACGACCCAGATCCACCGCTAGTAGATATTTTCTTTTTTGGGCTTTTTCTTTCGGGCTTTCCCTCAAGGCTTTAAAACGCGTCTGCTAGCGGAAGGTTTCCATATCTTTATAAATAGTGGTTTGTTCTCCTTCCCTACCAATGTAGGACATTAAGACGCGTTTTAAAGCCTTGAGGGGAATCCTAAAAGGGAAAGCCAAAATAAGACAATATCTGCTAGCGATGGATCTAGGTCGTTACATTAACAAACTTTCTCGTCTTCAAAGGAGAGATCATCATGGATGTACCTGTTCGTTGAGGGTATTTTTGAAATAAAATAATAATAGTTTCGTATATTTTTGAAGTTGGAAAGGTATTTTATATAGTTTAGGGGAAAAAAAATTAAAAATTGAATATATATATATATATATAAATATAAATATAAATAAATGAGAAATTTTAATTTGAAATGTCCACTCCAAATCGCACCGCCAAACCGTATTGCCCACTGGACGAAGTCTGAGGATTAGGGTTTCAAACTTTCTTACGTCTTTTCGTTCGATTTGGGCGTTTCATTCTAAAATATTTTCGGGAGGGAAAAATCCCGAATTGAAAATCAAGTTCCCAAGGCCCCTCGCATCTCAAATTCTCCAATCCAATCGATCAGTTAGAAGCAGAGCTCGAGTAGTTTCTGAAGGTGATTATCCTAATCTCTCATCCATTTTCTCATTGCGTTTTCCCTTCTGAACTTCGTAGACTGGAATTGCACTATTGTGTTATTTGTATTTTTGAGAGAATCACGATGGATGAATGGAATGATATTTTGTGAATTTGAAGTTCTACTTGTTTGATTTCTGAGAATTTTCGGAAGCTCAAGCTTGGTTGAGATTGATATTTCCCGCGTTTTCCCAGCGGATGAACGTGGATCGAGGCTGTAAATTTTTCGAAAGGGCTAATCTGGGGTTTTCTTTTTCGAGCTTTATTCTTATGAGCTTTCTCAGAATCGTTTCTATATTTATTTTGAAGTTCTAGACTGCTTCTTCAAAATCGTGTTAGTGGAGTTCGTTATGGAACCTAGGTTCCCCACTGCATCTGCTAGTTCTTTAATTGAATTTACTCGTCTTTGACCTTGGAGATTTTATTACACCATGTGATGGTCAACTCTGTACAGAGATTGCTTAGCGGTTTAGTTTGAATTTAACGTTCATTTCTCAAATCTATTTTGTTCGAGGTAAAACTGATTATATGTTCGTATGCAGTTGAGATATCTCTCTCTTCTAAGTCATGAACACCACTGTGCATAGAACTTCCAATTCTGGGAGGCAGTCGTTGTTCTACCAAGATTTAGCATCTCCTGTTTCGACGCGCAGAGGGAAATTTTCAACTCCAGGCCAGGCAGCTGCTGTTTCTGCTTTATGGCGGGAGAATTTTGGAAACTCAGATCTACCCCCTCCTCCGGTTTTTACATTGGAAGACCGTTCGGGCTCTGATTTTTCTCCTGAATCTGGGATTCCTGATTATCCTGTTTCACCAGAAGTTAAATCAGACCCGATGACCCCTATCCAAAGTCATGACTTCTCTTCGCCGATGAAAAGCAAGTCAAATACCAGCACTTCACACACACCAATTAGTGCCCAACAAAGCCGGCAGGCATCAGCTGGCTTTAGTTGGTGGTCAACACCAAAAGGTGGTGGCAGCGAGCAGGAAGATAAGGGAAAAAGTTCACCAGTTGAAGGTGTGATTCAACCAGGTGCATTAATCACACTTCAAACCCCAAGGGAAGTTGCCAGACCGGAGGTGCAGAGGAATTGCTTGCCTGCAGGAAAACTCAACGAGGAGGAATGGGTTACTGTCTATGGGTGAGTTCTCTATTCCCTTTCCCCCTTTCATTCATCATTGTTAGCTGAGATCTTTGTAGTGAGTTGAATTTCAATGATTCATTTACCGGATTTTTTTATCTGCAAGCCAAACAGTCGTCCATTTTTCTTTTGGGCCATCTTGGAGTTTTCTAACTAACGATGCAGATGATCAAATTGGTTTTAGTTTTATTTGATTCATCTGTCTTGCCCTGCCATTTCTCTTGGATGCATCTCTCTCTCTCTCTTACACACACCCACACTTAACTCCTGCACGTAAGAACATGTTAATGTTTTGAACATTGCTTCAATTAATAACCACTTTAACATTAAACGTATTCAATTGGGAAGTGTTGTAAGCCTGTCCTTTTACATTGGCTTATTTTTTGTTGAAATGAATGAGTATGCTTCAATATATTGACAGGTAAGGTAGTACCCTAGTTGTTTTAGATTTACCTCAGTTGCAATGCTGCTGTAAGCAATTGCAGTTATGCTGATTTTGAAATAAGCAAGTTAGATTGTTAAGATTTAGTATTTGATATGAGGCAATGCATCAATTGATTTCAAGTCTTATTTGTATAATTTTGTGCCCTCTTTCTTCAGATTCTCACCTGCTGATACGAATCTAGTTTTGAGGGAATTTGAAAAGTGCGGTGAGATCTTGAAACACGTTCCTGGTCCAAGAGATGCTAACTGGATGCACATTCTTTATAAGGTACCAACCTTCCTCTGTTTCTCTGCTTTATTTGACTATGGTTTTCTCAGTTTGATGTTTTTTATTTTTCATTTTAGACTCTTCCAGTTAATGTGTTATTTGGGAATAAACATGCAAAATGTATTCTGCTGGTAAAGATTATTATCAGGTTTTAAGATTCTCAATATTTTTAGTTTAACAATATGGGGATGAGGATACGAAACTCGTAGATTAAGATGCCTTAACTAGTTGAGCGCTCAAGTTGGCTAATTAGGTTTAAAATTTAATTGGCACTTGCAGAGTGTTTTGGCACTTGATGTATGTTATATCAAGCATATATGATTGAAATGATATCCATATATGAACAGGAAGATGCTATATTCAACCTCTTAGAAAAACTATTTGCCTTACGAATTTGTTGCTGGTGCAGAACCGATCTGGTGCCCACAAGGCTCTCAGCAAGAATGGTATTCAAATCAATGGGATGCTAATTGTTGGCGTGAAACCTGTGGATCCAATAGACCGGCAGACACTAGATGAAAAGTTAAACAACCCAGGATTCATGGTTCTCCCACCGGTATCTTCTCGAACCGCAGAACTCGCAACGAGAGGAGGGCCTGTGCGACCCTACAACTTCCAAAATGGTAACAGTTATGCACGGCAGTCAGGAGGTACCACCATTGCTTCACCATCCAAATCATTAGTGTCTAAGGTCATGGATTTGATGTTTGGAGTCTAAGTTAGGTAGCTCCTTCTCCTGTGGGCGTATAGATTTTCCATGGCAAGAAATTCCTACAAATTTGAGAGCTTACACACATTGACTTGGCGTGATATATGTTAGCCTGTTTCATTCTATGTTTTTCCTGTTTAATTTTTATTTTTAAGAATGATTCAAACATATTAATGGAATCTGATAAGAATGATTCAAATTACCCTTTAGTGTGTTTGTTCCTTCGATGCAGGGACAAGAAATTTTAGAAACAATGATTCTTTTTTACATAAAATTAAATTTAGGGTTTTTTTAAAAAAACCATAATTTTAATTTATTTTCAATAAATTAATAATTTTCTTTAATAAAAATTGAGTATTTCATGGATTTCTTAGATGTGAAATTAAATTAAAAAGCGTTGAAACCTAACAACATTGATCAAAATTAAAAATTTGAGGGTTTATTACGTATTTTTAAAAATTTTAAAATTAAATACCCATAAATTAAAAAATTTACAGTCTCAATTTTCAAGTTTATGCGAAGATAAAAAATGAAAAGTTCTCGTAATTTTTATAATTCATTAACGGAATGAATTATTTTTAATGGAGATTTGAACATTCTCATCATTTTCATTCTTTCATTAATGAATTATTTTTAATACTTTTACGAAGAACTTGACGATGAATTTGAATGAGATTTAAATTTATTAATTAAGATATAATAAAAAGACACAAAATTTAGACTATGAATTTGAATGAGATTTAAATTTATTAAATTAAGATATAATAAAAAGACACAAAATTTAGACTAAGATTTAAATTTGTTGAATTAAGATATAATAAAAAAAAATAGACTAAGATTTAAATTCATTGAAGTAAGATGTAATAAAACAAAATTTAGAATAAGATTTAAATTTGTTGAATTAAGATATAATATAAAAGAATTTAGACTCAGATTTAAATTGGTTGAATTAAGATATAATAAAAAGACACAAAATTTAGAATTAAATACAAACATAGAGTTCAAATAAATAGAAATTTAAAAGAAAAAGTTAAAATAAGCGTAATTAACTATTAATTTTCTCCCTGTTATTATTATTATTATTAATTTTTTTTAATGGGTCCTTGGAAAAACCCTTCTATCGTCCTCGATTATCCAATGCAGACCAGAGCAATCGGCAAGCAAGGAACCGGAGCAGCCTCAATTCCACTTCCTTCCCGCCCTTCCCTTCGATCAATGTAGCTTTCTCTTAGGTTTTCACTTCCATCGATTTCCCCCGCTGAACGAAATCGATGGCCTGCGAACGGTTTCACACTTTTTCTTCCTCAATTTATTCGTCTTCTCCATTTCCCAATTCCAGGCTCCGGATCTTCAAGCAACGAACATGGCGTCGCCCATATCCCTCGGTATCGTCTCAAATTTCATCTCCGTCCAATTCTCAAAGCGATGAAGATATCGATTCCAAGAAGAACAAGCTCAATTTGCTCAAACTCTCTGTAACTCTCACTGTGGTTTCAACCTCTCTTCATACGTCCAACGCCCTCGCTGCTACCGCCTCCAAAGAAGTGAAGGAACGAAGACGTGGAGCTAAGAAATCTTCCACCAAAAAAGGTGACGCTCTTTCTCCTCAGGAGCTGCTTTCGTGGTCGCAAGGACTTCCATCTGTTTCCAACCGAATTCCCTATACTGAACTCCTGGATTTGAAAAGAGAGGGGAAAGTTAAGCATGTGATCAAAGTTCCTAATGGATTTTTGAGGCTGAGGCCGGAACCAGTAATGGTGGTTCTGGAGGATTCCAGGGTGTTGAGGACGGTGTTGCCGTCTGTGGAGAGTAATGGAAGGTTTTGGGCGCTGTGGGATGAGCTGGGGATCGATTCTGTTTGTGTTAATGCATATACGCCTCCTGTAAAGCTTCCTGACGTTCCTACTCCGTATTTGGGGTTCTTGACGAGAGTACCGGCGTTTTTGTATTCCTTTGTTAAACCGAAGAAGGAGTCCAAGAGAGCTGCAGAGGTTAGGCGTATAAGGGAGGAGATCAAGATGGAAAAAACTGCTGCATTGGAGAAAATGAGGCAGGAAAGAGAGATGATAGAAAAGACAGTGAAGATGCAGAAGAAAGAAGAGGATATGAGGATTAGGAGAGAGGCAAACATAAAGAAGCGGGAGCAATCATTAAATAAAGCTAGAATTAACTACCAACGCATGGCAAATTTCTGGGCAGATTTAGCCCGGGATCCAAATGTGGTATCAGCCCTTGGTTTTTTATTTTTTGTGATTTTTTATCAAACTGTGGTGTTGAGCTATAGGAGACAAAAGAAGGATTATGAGGATCGATTGAAGATTGAAAAGGCTGAAGCAGAGGAGAGGAAGAAAATGCGGGATTTAGAGAGGGAGATGGAAGGTCTTGAGGGTGAGGATGATGATGTTGAGCCAGGAAAAGGTGAACAAAATCCTTACTTGAAGATGGCTGCGCAATTTATGAAGTCGGGTGCTCGAGTTCGTCGGTCTCATGGAAAGAGGACGCCTCAGTATCTGGAGAGAGGGATGAATGTGAAGTTCGAGGATGTCGCTGGGCTTGGGAAAATAAGGCTCGAGCTTGAGGAAATTGTGAAGTTTTTCACACATGGAGAGATGTACAGGAGAAGGGGTGTAAAGATCCCAGGTCAGAATTTACTTTTGGTGGATGAACATTTCTTTTTCTTAATGGTTTGTTTGAACTGCAAACGAGAATTCTTTGGGTTCTATGTTGATTAAGCTATGTATGAGTAATTTCCTGCTTCAAATGGAAACTCGAAGTAATTGAAACTGTTTCATCATAATACTTCAAGCCTTAAGTGTTTATTCATCATAATACTTCAACATTTCTTTTTCTTAATGGTTTGTTTGAACTACAAACGAGAATTCTTTGGTTTCTATGTTGATTAAGCTATGCATGAGTAATTTCCTGCTTCAAACGGAAACACAAAGTAATTGAAACTGTTTCATCAAAATACTTAAAGGCTTTAAGTGTTTATGAATCAGGTGGTATACTGCTTTGCGGTCCTCCTGGAGTCGGGAAAACTTTACTAGCAAAAGCAGTTGCTGGTGAGGCAGGCGTTAACTTTTTCTCCATATCCGCTTCTCAATTTGTGGAAATATATGTCGGGGTTGGTGCTTCTCGTGTTCGAGCCCTCTACCAAGAAGCTAGGGAGAATGTATGTCTGTCCTCATTTGCTCAATTTCTTTCTTTTCTTAAATTTAAATTCATTATTTACTTTGTTCATCTCCATTGTTTGAACACTCAAGACTGTCCACTGATCTCTGGTTGATACTCTTCTTGGTGGTGTTTGGTTAATGTAATATATGATTTCTCTGTTCCAACTCTTATCCTGTTTAATATTTCCACTTCCTATTTCTATACCTATAAATTTTGTCCACTTTCTTGATCCTCTAAGTTTCTCAATACACATGGTATAATTTAAACATGTTCTGTCATATTAACATTAATTTCAATATCATGTTGGTCATGATAGGCTCCATCAGTCGTTTTCATTGACGAGCTAGATGCTGTTGGAAGGGAACGTGGTTTGATAAAAGGTTCTGGAGGGCAAGAACGTGATGCTACTCTTAATCAGGTTTCTGAGCTATGATTATCAATCCTGCTACTGTGAATTGTAAAGTCCTGCTTCGTACTCAATGGTCTGTGTTGCTGTTGCTTTATGCATTGCAGCTTCTTGTCTCCTTGGATGGATTTGAAGGCAGGGGCGAAGTGATTACTATTGCTTCCACTAATAGACCAGATATTCTTGATCCAGCACTAGTAAGACCTGGACGATTTGATCGAAAGATTTATATTCCTAAGCCTGGACTTATTGGTCGTTTGGAAATTCTCAAGGTAATATAGTTATCATTTTTCCTAGTGTTGCTGTTTCTCTGATTCCACACTGCCTTGATGATATGTAAATGTACTATCAACGTTCTTTGAGGTTCCAAGACTCATATGTTTCTTTTCTCTTCCGTGATTATAGGTTCATGCACGGAAGAAACCTATGGCTAATGATCTTGATTACATGGCTGTTGCTAGTATGACAGATGGAATGGTTGGTGCAGAACTAGCAAACATAGTTGAGGTCGCTGCTTTAAATATGATCCGTGATGGCAGAACCGAGGTACTTTGCTACCTGGACTAATAGCATGTTACTTTTATCATTTACTGAAAACGAAATGCAAAGATTTCATCATATTCAGATCATTGAGATAGTGTTTCACTTTTGGGATAGTGTACTTTCGGTTCAAATGTGTGTAATACCCCTACGAAGTTTAATATTTTTTACTGAACGCAGTCTTGAGTTTGCATGGTTGCTTTGTTTTGGTTATCACCATGAAATGCAGTCTTTGAGAAGCTTGGGTTTTTTCAAAAACTACTCTCGGAACGCCCCTACCACATTCTATTTACGACCCACTTTTCACTAACCAACACTTCACCAACGCAAATATACGCTTCTAATACCCTCTTGCATATATCTTTAATATTTCTCTCCCATATTGCTAACAAAATACTAGTATTATTCTGGTTATCGATTCATATTATTATTTTTTCTTTTCCCTTCTTTTGTGACTTTAGGCTTATGATCAAAATATTTTTAATTCGTCCGTGCAATAGATTGCCCTATTTTTAGGAAGAATTCTCTGATTTGTGCAGATTACAACTGATGATTTATTGCAAGCTGCTCAAATAGAAGAAAGGGGAATGTTGGATAAGAAGGAAAGAAGCCTAGAGACGTGGAAGCAAGTGGCCCTTAATGAGGCAGCAATGGCTGTTGTTGCTATGAACTTCCCTGACCTAAAGAATATTGAATTTGTATGGTCTCTGGTCTCTTAGTCATCAACTTTCCATTTCCCTTTCTGAATTTTGTTTTCTCATGCAGTAGACTTATCCACCGTCTTTACGTTCTATATTCGTGGAGTGGTTGAACTCAATAATTAACACTAGGAAGGAACAAAAGCAATCGTTGTAACATCAATGAATTACCTATCATTCTTTTTTTATCAATTTGAAACTTCGGTAGCACACTTTCACTTGAATAATCGGGGTTCTTTTGTGATATCTTATTGAATAACTCACTTTTGAGTCCTTATTGGCACAAACAAAATTTCCAGGATTTTTCAGTATGTACCAACAACACAAAAAACCGCATGTCTGGAGTAGAATGTTTCGGAAATATGATAATTTTATTAAGAACTCCT